GAAAGATGCTTTGAGAAGCTCCAGAAATGTAAGCGTCAAACAATTGGAAATCCTTGTTTCGTCACGATTTGGTGTCAGCATTCACACATGATGAGCTTAAGAATGAAAAGGGTGGATCGTGACAAGCGAGAGTATTATTCAGTCCTGTAAGGTTTATAAGTGAGGCAAAGGTCACATGGGTACTACTCTTGGGATGACTTGACACCTCAAGACGGGGGACTTCACATCACTGGCATCACAAAAAAATAGTGCACACGTTGCCTCCCGGCACCAATCATCACTACATGGGTTAGGTCCCAGATGGTGAAAAGATAGGCCTTGGTCAGATTTCTGTTCAATGTCCCAAGAAGCGTGTGGCCAAAATTTTTTTTTATATGACGCTTGCCGATAAAAAAAAAATCCTCACATTATTCAAATTGTGCTTTGGGGCTGTCAAAGTCGCGTGAGACAAAGTGCCCATTCGAAACAGAGCAGTGCACCACCCCTGTGCGATAGAAGAGAAAAAGGGATCCCGCGGAAAGCGATGTCACAGAACATACACATTTTTCCGCACACCATACAATGGACAAGTGTTGCACTGCAGTAAAACTGAAGATTATAACTCTCAGAATGTGAATCAGATAATCAACTTGCTACACTTGAGACCTGTGTTTGATAACGGGCTGCCGAAACACGGATTCAAACCAATGTTCTCAGCAGTACCCATGAGCCAGCCCAGTCCTCCTATGCAAGTGAGTGTTTACTCAAGTAGGGCTCTTGCTGCCACTGTTGTTTGAAGGCATAGAGCCACCAGAAGCAAACAATGGAAGTCACCCCACAGCTGTTATCAGCTTAGATGCGGCAAACATCACCGGTCACCCAGCGGAGGTCATGAAGTCCTACTCTAACCTGCACAACCGCATCTGACAAAACGAGATAAGAGAAAGAATCGGCTGATGAGCCGTGATGAGATCAGGTAGTGGCTTCTGCAAGCAACAGAAAGAGGCGCAGTCAAATTCGAATAGTGCAAAATGACACCGCGAACAACACTTTGGAGTGTTGCACTCCTCCATCACGAGAAGTCCAAAGTGGACTTTAGAACTGTGGACCTATGAAATAGCAGTGGGAAAATATTTCAAATCAAATGTATTTTTGCTGTACAGCCTTCTGCTGCCGACAACAAAGTCCCAAGCGCTCAATCTCCCAACTCCCCCTTTCCCAACGGCTGATGCAGACAAACTATTTAACTGTTAACTATTTTTATTTTAATATGCAAGGCCGACTGAGCTATACAGGTCTTTTTCAGAAGCGACTTGGCTACAAATATTATTCACTTTGTTCACTCTGTCTATGCTGGTATGTTCAACCCAGAGGATGAACACGAAATTTAGCACTCCTGAAATTCGTGGTCTGCCAGGCAAGTGTCTAACTGTGTCGTTGGCCGACTGGTTTTGCATCACGTAAATTTTTCTTAGGTTTGTTGAATTCTCGTCTCTCATCTTCTTGTTGTATTTACCTCCGTGCAGTTTTACGCTATGTGTTGTGTTGATGTCACCCTATGTGCTATTTGTTTTATTACACCTGATGAAGATCGCTTGTGTTGCGGTCGAAACGTCGTGATTGATTTATTTTATTTTAATATAATTTTATGGTATTTCTACATACGTGACTTTACCGAAAAAAACAATGAGTAATTTATGCAGTCACGAAAGCTTTAATTCTTTATTATTTACAAATATTATCTCAATGAAGTGGCTTATCACGTGGAAATTAATAGCAGGCAAACACTCGAAACACATGTTTTTAAATGTGGAGGGAAAAACCGGAGAACCCGGAGAAAAAAAACACGCGACCACGGGGAAAACGTGCAAACTCCAAATATACAGGCGTCAGGATTGGGATCGAATCCACAACCTCCTGTATACCAAGTAGTTAACATCTCGCCACGGTGGTGCCAAATAAATAGACTACGACTATGAATATCAGGCAATCGATTCAATTGAATGTCAAGTTGAGTTGATTTCTCTGGGAGCTGCCATTGAGTTGTGTTACCATGCTCACAGGTTCGATGAATGTACTCTATCACCAAAAAATCGTGAAAAGAATTGTGCAGACATCATAATGCATTATACTACTAAAAAGAGTCTTGAGGCTCGGGCCAGGCTTTCCCGACAGGCTGAACAAAAACTATTGCGATTATAATACTTCCATTGAGTTTCAAGTTTACCTTAACTAAACATAAACGTGGACTGTATGTTCGACTAAAAAGCGATCACAAAGCGCCACCCAAGTCAAACTCTGTGGACTGGGCAGAACGACACGCTCGCGCACGAAGCCATCTGCGCTCATACTAGCCCATCATACAAGCCCATTACACAAGTCCAGCAACGCCAAAAAAGGCATCTATCCGGTTCTTGAGCCGTCTGGCAAGCCCATATAACATTAATAATATCATAATAGGGTTTTTCCCCTTTTTTTCTGGCAACAAAACTGAAATCTTATTACACGGATTCATGTCTGCATTAACCACAATACTTGCAGTCAAAATGGAAACAAAAACATACTATAATAATATATGCATTGTCCTAGAAACTGATTGGTCCACACCAAGGGACGGCTTTCTTTTGAGCCTCGACCCAATTGGTGCTCTACCAGAGGACGCCAAAAGGCGTACATTAATAATAATGATATTCTTTGGTTCTTTTGGTAAAGTCACGTAGATAGAAAAATGATAAAAATAAATTGAATAAAAATTATAAAAATTATTTAAAAAAACATTAATGTAGACTGTAGCCTGGTTCCTAACTTCGGTGAGTGTACTGGCAGACTATAATGTAGACTGCAGCCTGGTTCTTAACCTGAGTGAGCGTACTGGCAGTCTATAATGTAGACTTATTCTTGATTCTTTCAGTAATAAAAAAATAAAGAATAATAATAAGATACAAATTAAAAATTAAAACCACGACGTTTCAATCGCAAAACAAGCGATCGTCTTCAGGAAGAAAGAGGGAGATGGTCACCTAAGGCAACCGTTTAAAAGGTTTCAAAAATGGGCGTGGCACAAGAGCAAAAGCTCCTGCGGCTAAACGAAGTGGGCGGGGCATATGTGCCCTGGGGTCAGAGAGCAACAATGTGAAGCACGGAACTGCCAGTATACTCACCAAACTTAAAAATCAGGCTACAGTCTACACTATAGACTGCCAGTACACTCACTCCGATTAAGAACCAGGCTACAGTCTACATTAATGTTTTTTTGTTTTTTATTTTTTATTTTCATTATTTTTATTCACTATATTTTTATTATTTTTCTATCTAAGTTACTTTACCGAAAGAACCAAAGAATATGAATTCCTGCAGTCACGAAAGTTAAGTCAACATTTTATGATAATTACTTAAGTATCCATGACAGCCACGCTGAGTCCTCAGACTCTGTTTCACGAGGGTCCTGCATTCAGTTTTGATCTTTAAGATGTGGGAGTAAACCGGAGTACCAGGAGAAACCCCACGCACACACGAGATGAGGTAACGCTCCATCTCCGTACAGATGGTCACAGATGGAGATTAGTCCACTTGATGTACTGCCTTCTCCTGGCGAGCAAGGGTATGGCACACCTCCCTCGATTCCCGCGGGAAGAGAGTTTCACAATGCCGGCTTCCTCCACAGTGCTGGTTTACAGCAAGCAGCCAATGTGCATAGCCACCACCGCCAGGAACAGGCAAAGTCAAACGCGAGCGACGTTTTACTTCCGCCGACGCTGCCAAATCGGCAGCGGTGGTTCGGCGAATTCCAAGTCGCAATCGAGTTGTCGATGGTCGACAACTCCCTTGCCAGCCTTGCCACAAATACTCTGGACTGTGGAGGGGTGGCGGGGGGGGGGTGGTTCAGGGGTCAGACTCGCGTTATTGAACGCCGTGTGCCTCAGGGCCCATCGCTCCGCCGCACGTACAGTGGGGGCGCCTTGTAGCAACATGGGGCGGTGGAGAAGGTCCGACTGGGACCCAATAATGTATCTTTGTCCATGTGGCACGGATTATAAAACGTATTCGTAAGACACTGGGCTTGCTGGTTTTCATTATAAAGTTCAGTTTCCCCAAACCTACCAAACCTGCTTTGGACCAGGCAATTACATTTTGTTGTATAGGTAGTCTCAAGGCACGTAATGATTCCCACCCAAGGCAGCGTTTTGAAAAACCTTGCCTCTCTATAATAAAGAATAGAGTAAAGCATTTTTTATTTTTTTATTTAAAGCTTTCGTGACTGCAGGGATTCATATTCTTGGTTCTTTCGGTAAAGTCACGTAGAAGGGAAACAATAAAATAATAAAAATATAAAACAATAAAATTATCACGACGTTTCGACTGCAACACAAGCAATCATCATCGGTGTGAAAACCACACCTGATGATGATTGCTTGTGTCGCAGTCGAAACGATTTTATATTTTTATTATTTTATTGTTTCCCTTCTACGTGACTTTACCGAAAAAACCAAGAATATAACATTTATTATATTTCTTTGTCGCGTATTTGTCAACCATTTCCGTTTTGTGACTTACCATTAGCAGACAGTTCGCATACATGCAAAGTAATTGATTTTTACATGATTCTACGCACGTATAGTGAAGCGTACATTGATTTTGACCACCGAATCGACACACGTTCATCGGGCACGTTCCGCTGCCACCGCGATTGCGACGGATTTCGCAGGACGTCACGAGTTATTCCGACCCAGCCGCCGGAGATTCGATTTCTTTGTACCGAATGACTGTGGAACGCACGATGCCTTAACTGGCCAAACCTACATTACTTGAAAGGGAAAAAAAATAACTGATCGAGGAATTGTGATACTTTCAAAACTCTTATAAGAAACATTTAAAATCATGAAACCCAACAGCGAAACGTAGACCTCTTCCAAAAAGCAATGGAAGGTTAAAACAAATTTTTAAAGCGTACAATCATAACTCAAACGACCTTCGCGTTGAACGATTAACCCACCCCCACTCTGTAACACACCTCCACTTACCTGCTGCTACTTTCAACAAAGGTGCACACGTGCCTTAACAAAAAAACTAGCAAATTAAAGACGAACACTCTGCTCCTGGCTCAGTCTACAACTGGATGGACGGGCTTTGTAAGGGGGGAAAAAAAGGAGATATCGTTTGTTACACGTGCGGTAATGTGGCTACGAGTCAAATACAGCACTGTAAAAGGCCGGCACGGCGGCGGCGTGTGTGGCTACATGTACCCGTGCGATTTGGTCCCATTGGTCCCCATGTGGCGATGACGTGGAGCAAGCAGGGCAGGGTGTTGCCAAGTCGCCACACACATTCCGCGGCTCGCCTCACGCAAGACAGCGCGCGCGGCCCTCATTATCGTGCGGCGGCAACAACAACAATAGCAGCAGCAGCAGCGGCGGCGGCGGAAACATTATATAATGCCGTCGTACGATGCACAACCTCACAATGCCAAGATGAGGGCTCCAGGTTTTTTTTTTGTTCGAACCTTCAATCCCATTCCTGGTTTTGAATTCTGACTTGAGAACAACCAAGGTCAGAATTCACAGAGGCGCGTCACAACAACAAATCACCTGTTGATTAAAATCGATTCTCACGTCGAGGATATGCGAAACAAACTATGCCCGTAAGAATCAAGTGGGAAGTGGCAGCGTTAGTGGTTTTGCGCACTGCGCTACGGAACCCTGCGGACAGAATTCAATTCCTGCTCACGACCAATGAAAGTAGCGAATATCTGAACCGTTTCAGGGCCTCCACTAGGTTTGATTCGGCCTTTAAAAAAAGTACCCGGTGCGGTGTGCAAACATCAGGTCTGGGGAGATAAAAGTGCTGGCCACCTAGCCCCCAGTGTGCCGGGCCGGCCTTCATAAGTGCTCTCTAAAAGCACTTGCCCCAAAAGTCTTTTAAGGCATTATGGGGGGGGGGGGGGGTAATAATTGTTGTTGTAAGGTTCAATTAGTTTTAAATAATTCAACGTGAGGATTAAGACAAGACACACAACGACAATTGCATTCAGAAAAATCAACGAATGTGTTTTTTTATGTGTTTATGTTGAACTTCTTTCGCACCATACTTAGCCAACCGTGCTAATCAAAGGTGCAGTACAAACAAGACGGATGGCAGATATTGGAGAAAATGAGGCAGCGCAGTTGAGACTTGACAAATCACAGTACAAATTCAACAATGCAGAGGAGAAAATTGAGACTAGACATACATTAGACACAAGACGCCCACTGCACACTATACAGACAGGACAGACGAGAGAGACAAAACCAACATGACAGTGCTAACACGACAAGAAAATAAACCCTTTTAATAAATGAAATCTCGACTAAAATTCATGGAAAAGCATCAAATCAATGTGCTGAGGTTATCAATCGATAGGCTACAAATGACTAATCATCTGGGGGGTATTCCTAGTAAGATATGGCAATGCTCAATGGACAGTCACTGGTTAAAAGAGAGATAGGATCAAATTAACTAAAATACATTCAATACGTACTCATCGAGGACAATTCTGCATCTGGGCGGCTCAATTAGGCGATGTTCACCTCGATCGCAGAATGTGATGCAGAACACGGTCTTCAATTTGCTCATATTTGCATGATAAATCAACGTGTTCAAGGTACATTACATCTATGACTTGAGTTGAGAAGCGTGACGCCATGAGACTTGGCAGAGCTTGATATTAATCATAGTACGAAAACCAGTATTTTCAATGTATTGACGGTACACCGGTGCGTGGTATATATATTAAAAAAATCACAATAATTGTCTATTTTCCCCACGATTCGCAAACCCGGACAGAGAATCTTGCGGAGCGCATCAAAATCAGTTCTCGTGATGTCGAAGCAGTCGGACAACGAACATTATGAGCAGCTGAACACGAAGCTTCACAGTCTGTTGCCGTAGAGCAGCACCCAGCCTGATGACGATTGGCTCCATGTTCCAAAGGGAGATTTGACTCGTGGCCCCTAGAGACGGTTCCTCAATTTATTTCCGGAATTATTTTTTGGCGGATAGTGGCATCAAAAGATTGTGACTCATGTCACGCATTCGAATGGGAAATAAGCTGCTGAATCTAAGGCAACTTCTGATGGGGAGTCTGCAGCTCATTTAAGGGCAACGGCGACATCGTCAGACAGTTTTACGAGGACTGGTGTATTATGCTGCACCGGTGTACCGCCAAAAGTCCATTTATATTTTAAATTAAGGCTATGGTCTTCATGTCAGGTGAAGTCTCCTCTGCTGAAAAGGCCCAAGGGCAGAGATCGTTCCAATTTGGCAGCTCTATGCCAGGCGTGGACATGCCACGTTTATATCGCCGGGGAGAAGGCGCTTCACATTCTACAGAATATGAATATGGTAAACCAAATAAAAGACTGCTCAACTTGCAATCAAAAAAGTTAACTCGGGCCTCTCATTCCTGTGGGGTCAACACAATAAGTACCGTTTTATCGAACGTGAACCTTCGGGATAAACTGACCCCTGCCAGAAGAATGTTGGTATATCCATGCTGTGGCTAAGAGAGTCGGCAACAGAAACGCGCACTACCCCGAGTAGGGGTTTGAGGCAGCAGCTGAAATGCAGAGTTTGAGCATACCTAACCACGCAAGTCAGGGCGGATGAGTGAAGGGGGAGGGGGGAATGAAGGGGGACACCCAAGATCAGTTCAGATATCACTTGACGCTGGCGTTAGGCCGTGATCGGGAATTGAAAAATCGGATCGTCAGGTTCACAGAGCAGTTTGCACGAACCGTTGCCCCACCGCTCCACCCTGTCGGATATATTGTAAACCGAACCTGTGAATTAATACAGGAGGCAGGAACTATTTAAATGCACACACACACACACTCTGTAAATTAACCAGGGGGCCACAAAAGCAAACAACACAATCATTAAAACAATGACAGTGTCTAACACTAGAACCCCATCTCCCCTCGGTACCCTCCCCATACGCCTCACCCCCCACTTCAAACCTTCACTTCTCACGACTACCAAACTACAATAGCCGATTGCTATGGCAGCCGAAGCCAAACACAACATTGTGTCCACGCAGTAGACCGGACGATGTCACGTCTAACAAAACCAACAGCAATCACAACGCCACGTGGCATTTTCACACATCATCTACGGGGAACTTCCCTCCACCTCCCTCGCTCTCCACCTCCCCAGCGCCCTCCCATACACTCTCACTGCAGTCGTGTCAGCGCATGTCTCCACGTAATGGGGCGTGGAAGCAGCAAGTGGTGGCGTCACAACTCCCGTCAGGAATTGTCACGATACGAATTGGGCGATTCGATTCGAGGTATTCTGTGCGTCACGCACATCATCACAGCGCCATCCAACAACCATTCCTCCTCCTCCTCAGATTTGGACGAGAGAGGCATGTACGCCACAAATTCCGGCTCATCAAACAGGCTTCGCGTGCCATTCAGTGGCGATTATATTGTAACCGCCACAATGAAGCACCTTCACTTAAATGGAGCTTCAGGATTCTCCATTCAAACCAATGGGTATTTTATGGGCAACACCAAGGCTGTCGATCCCGTTCGTTAGAATGGTTATCCCTGCAGCAGCATCGTCCATTATACCCCCATTTCTTTAAATGGAGATTACTGCTTCACTAATTTAAATACAAAGGGATTCTTTGGAAAGCTTAGGAATCAATCATATAATCCTCATTCACATGTTAAGGTCAATTCCTAGATATACTTTAAATTAATGTTATTCTACTGGACAATCCTGGCATATGCATATCCAACCATTGCCATTCTTTGCCAGCTTAGGAATTGTCTATGGAACTGCCCCCCCCATTCATTTCAATGGCGATTCTGGGATCTTCATTCAAATGAACAATGTCCTTGCGTCAATTCCAAGGATCATCACGAGGCGGTGTGTTTTGGCAGCAGGAGGACACAATGTGGCAAAGGGTGGCATCCACATCCACACCCATTGTGGCAATGTTGGGCAGCTCAGGAACCATCTATATCGCCGGCCCCTCCCCACCCCCCCCCCCCCCCATTCGTTTCAACAGCGACTCGACGACCACCATTCAAAATTAAAAAAAAAACATGCGGTTGAGGGTGGACGGTCACGCCCCACGCGAGCGTGCGCCACAATTTGCCGCAGCTTGATGGCGGCTCCCCACGCTCTCTCGCAAACGTACCCGCGCTCCCTGCGCTAAAAAAAATACCACGACCGCCGCGCAGAAACCATCCCGCGAGCGATCCGGCGCGCGCACGCGCTTTCGTTCGGGCTGCGTCAGCTCACGGCGCTTCAAGGGCACGCCGTTGCGACAGCAGAAACTAAATTAAAGGCTGTCAGGTTGGCGGGGGGGGGGGGCAGTGGAGGCAGTCAGACACAGGCGGGAGTTGAAGGGGGGCAATGCTACTGTTGTTCTCTCACTCGCTGCACTGTACCACACACCTAGGCCACGGTGCCAGAGGGCGATGCCAGCACCGCAGGCTCAGCAAACAGGACCATCTTGTGTGCATACCACCGGCATGCCAGGCATATTTGCAGTATCTTCTTTGGTTATTTCGGTAAAGTCACGTAGAATGAGAATAAAGTAATAAATTAATAAAATTAAATAACAATAAAATTCTCATGACTTTACCGAAAGAACCAAAGAAGATGAATCCTTGCAGTCACGAAAGCTTTAAATCGAAAAATGTTTGCAGTATTTCACCGTGTGGACCAAGACCGAGGGTGTCGTTGGATTAACCCGAGGCATAATGATGTACTTTGAAAGCCACCCTTGTTGAAGAGAGTGCCACACAGCTGCTGCCTTCTTCATCTCCAGCCACCATCAATCCACTGCTGGATGAAGGCCTTCCCCCAAGCGTGGCTCTCTCCCTTCCAAGATCCTGCGACTCAACGATCCAACCTAGCACCTGAAAAGAGCTGATATCATGGTTCCGTCTCCCCCCGGTGGACGTCCTCTCCGAAAATTGTTCCAACCCATGGCTGTGTTAATATACAATACCTAAGTGTGTGACGCTACGAAGTCCCACATTTTTCCACTTCTGATAAGGGATACATTAGTGTACTGTGCTCCAATGCGCTTCTATGTTCCAACGTCGATACCTTGACCAGACTGCAATGGCCAGCGTGGTGAAGTATGCTCAAATAATGACCGAGCGACACGACACGTGGGGTGGCCTTCATTTAGCAGTGGACTGACAAAGGGGCTGCACGTTTTAAACAGCAGCAGCTAACGCCCGCCCCGTGTGTATACAGTGAGGGGAAAAAGTATTTGATCCCCTGCTAATTTTGTACGTTTGCCCACTGACAAAGAAATGATCAGTCTATAATTTTAATGGTAGGTTTATTTGAACAGTGAGAGACAGAATAACAAGAAAATTCAGAAAAACGCATGTCAAAAATGTTATAAATTGATTTGTATTTTAATGAGGGAAATAAGTATTTGACCCCCTCTCAATCAGAAAGATTTCTGGCTCCCAGGTGTCTTTTATACAGGTAACGAGCTGAGATT